AGGAACAAAGACAGCATTTTGAGAGATGAGGAAGAGAGATATAGAAAAGTTTAAAGTCATTTATTTTAAATGAGTACTATGTTAAAGAACATACATATATTTAAAATTGTTCTTTGTTGCGGGGGGAGGGTTGACCCGTTACCTCAGTTGGTTGGAGCTTGGTGCTAATAACACCAAGGTTGCCGGTTCCATCCCCACATGGGCCACTGTGAGCTGCGCCCTCCTTAAAAGAGTCAACTATGCCATTGTAGCATGAAAGCAATGTGTAACCAATGACCATGGCTGTTCCCCAATTAAATTTTTTTAAAAAGAAAAAAAAGAAGACATTGTTCTTTAATTCTGTTTTGTCTGGTTGAGGAGGGAGATGAAAGAGAAGAACTATTAAATCTCAGTTGCAGAGGGAAAAAAGAAAGGCACAGAGGCAATGAAAATAAGGAGAGGGACTTTTTACCCTTAGCTCAGAGGTAGAGTTTCTATGAGGATTTTCAGTTTTAGGTCAATTAATGTCCCACAGTTTCAGAGCACCATCTTCTGTCACTGCCTTTTGAAATGCTAATTAATTGATTAGGCATTCATCCTAGCTTCTGAGAATGCTATAGGTAATCCTAGAGCTTCCTAATGGGATAGCCACTAGCAAACCTAGAGGAGGGAGCTTCTAACCTAGGCTGCCAAAGCAGCGGTTCAGCCCTGTGTTGTGAACTTCCATGGCAGAGGTGCTCCAGCCTGACAAAGAAGTTTAAGTAAACAAGGAAACAGACCAACCTGAGGGACGACAGCAAACTGCTTATCAATTTCCTTCCAGGAGTCCTTTATCTTCAAGCAGATACAATAAGTAATGTGGCACACTTCTCAGCTTTGGCCATAGCCCTTCCCACATTGCCAGTCCTTACCACCTTCCTTCTCCTTCAACAACTTGTACAAGGTACTGGCTTCTCCATTGCCCCTGGGAGAGTCAGCTGCATGATAAGTACAGTCAAGTTTTCTCAGTTCTTTGGCTTCCTTCTGGCTACACGTGACTCCCCCTGCAGCCCGAGGGCCATGTGTATTTGTTGACTGGTTAGCTACTTCAAAGTTGCTGTCATTAACAGCCTAACCCCTCCACTCCAAAGAGTGGTACTCAGACCTGCAGCATGGACATCACCTGGGAGGTTGTTAGAAATGCAGAATCACAGGCTCCGCTTGAGACTGTCTGAGTCAGAATCTGTACATTAGCACAGTCCCTTGGTGATTCTCATAAGCACGTTGAAGTTTTAGAATTACTGCAGGCATCTTTGACTCTCATCCTTTTTTGCCACTTCATCTGCCAGAAACCACACTTCAATCACCTTGAGACTCAGGTCTTAAGTCAATCTTCATATTGATTTTTTAAATTTCCTAATATACTCCAAGAATAGCTCCTTACACCCCCTTTCCACCCTTCATCTCTTCATTCCCATTTTTTTCTTCTCCCATTCCTATCCACTCTCTCCCTGTCTAACTTTACAGAGATCAGATGACCTTGCTGTACTAGTATTTTTTTCCTTCTACCCCTCAATATTCCATACTTCTGCCACCCTCAGTTTTTGTGGGGTTTTTTTTTCCTCAAGTCTCAGATAAGGCAATATCTTCCTCATTTCTAAGCTAGTTCTACCTGTGCCTTTTATACATTTCCCCTTTCCCTTCTTTTGGGATCTTGCTGTCTTACTGGTCTGTCTCCCAGAGTCATTTCAGTCCTTGGCACTAAAAGCCCTTCCTTTTGGCACCCAAATGTGCAGAGCTCTCATAAGAAAATCACAACACACACACGCATTCACATTCCTTTTGTGTTCTATTTCTCCTTTTTTACAGTCAGAATTTTCCAATAAATGGTCTAGAACAGTGGTTCACAATTGGGGCTGTCCCCCATCCCGGACATTTGGCAATGGAGACATTTTTGATTGCTGTGACCTGTGGGATGCTACTGGCATCTAGTGGGTAGAGGCCAAGGGCACTACTAAACATCCTACAATGCACACGGCAACCCTGCACAACAAATAATTATCTGGTTAGGGTAACCCACTGTCGCTGTTTGCCTTTGACTTTCTTAGGTATAGCACTGAAAATCCTATGTCCCAGGAAACCCCTCAGTCCTGGGCATACTGGGATGTTTGGTCACCCTGTATCTGGCCCAAAATATCAAAAGTGCCGAAGTTGAGAAACCCTGCCCTAGAAGGAAGATCCATTAACTTTTTTTCTCACCAACTCCCTTCATCCTGAATTTGTGTTCTTTTCTTTGGAAATGGTACTCCTCAAAGTCCCCATTGGTCATCTTTCAATCAAGAAATCCAGTGGACCTTTCTCTTCCTCAACCATTTTGATCTCTTTCAAGCATTTGACACTTGATTTGCTATTCACTTTGAACCATTTTTTTTCTTCTCATATTCTTGGTTTTCTCCTTTCTGTTCTCATTATGACTGTGCTTTCTCTCTTTTGTGGGTGCCTATTTCTACTATCTCTTTTTCTTAAAGATTTTATTGGGGAATTGGGGAGGGGAACAGCATTGGGTAATCAGGGAAGGGGAACAGACAAGTTGCTGTCCTTTTGTTCTTCAGTCTAGTTGTGGAGGACGTTGCTTCACTGGCCCATGTTGTTATTATAATTGCACTCTTCCCGGGTGAGACAGTCGCTCGCAGGCCATTGGACGGCCGCTCATGGCGGCTCAGGCAGGCTGCCAGCCACTCATGGTAGCTCACGGCAGCCCACTGCAGCCCCACTGCAGCCTATGCAGTCGCCGGCGACTCACGGCAGCCCAGCTCCGCCCCCAAGCCAATCCTTTTTTTTTTTTTTAAAGATTTTTATTGGGGAATTGGGGGAAGGGGAACAGACAAGTTGCTTTCCTTTTGTTCTTCAGTCTAGTTGTGGAGGACGTTGCTTCACTGGCCCAAGTTGGCACCATCATTGCGCTC